GGGAGAGGGGGAAAGAGGGGAGAGAGAGCTGGGGGAAAGCACTCATGCACATGAGAGTGTGCATGTGTGAAAAATCCTTGAGATTATGTTATACCTCCTAGGTATACCCTTAGTGTCCTTGCTCATCTTTCCCTTTTCTATATTTATGTCTCTCTTTTTCTACATTGAGAACCTGGGCTCCCAACAACATTAATATTATATACTCGTTTGCTGAATCTTAAAATATACACAGGAGAGTTTCAGAATTACTAGACCCATTCCACTACAAGAAGCAACATTAGTTCTCAATTGTTTGCAGGGATTGTTGTCTTTATATCAAGGATATATAGTCAAAGTATGCTATTCATTGTGTATATATACCACATCTTCTTTATCCAGTCATCTATCGAAGCACACTTTGGTTGTTTCATGTCTTGACCACCATAAATGAAGCTGCAATGAACATCAGAGCACATATATCTTTACAGATAAATGTTTTCAAATAATACTCTGCCATAAAAAAGATGAAATAGTGCCATTTGTGACAACATGGATGGATCTTGAGAATTTTATTTTAAGTGAAATAAGCCAGACAGAAAACATCGAGACCCATATGATTTCACTGACATGTGGGATATAAAACTGAAAGCAACAAAGGAACAAGACAGACAAATAAAGAAACAAAAACTCATTGACACAGACAATAGTTTAGTGGCTACCAGAGAGTGAGGAGGGAGGGGGCGGTAGATACAGGTAAAAGGGAACAAATATATCGCGATGGAAGAACTGACTGGGTGGTGAACACACAATGTGATATATAGATGATGTATTACAGAATTGTACACCTGACACCTATGTAACTTTACTGACCATTGTCACCCCAATAAACTTTAAAAAACAAACAAACATGCTATTCAAAAGTTACTTGGATTAGTTGTTTTCTTCTCCCATCAGTGATTTTATTAATTTGAAATAGAATTAGGTTCATTTGTGTCTGTTATCATTCAATCTTAGTTTTCCCCCCTCTCTGCATCCTTTTTAAAAGCATCATTTATTTTTTTTAAATGTGGGATTTTAGCATGATCCCCAGAGTCAAAACTGTAAAAGAAGGCATGCTCAGAGAAGTTGGCTCTCTCCCGTCTCTTCTTCCTGTCCCCCTACCTCTTTAGATAACTAACCTTTCTGCATCCTTACACTTTTACTTTTTCTGTAATATCTTATATGTTACTTGGACTCATAGAGTATATAATCAGTCAAGATTGTTGCTTTTACTGAGCTTAATTCCTTTGAGATTCATCCATGTTTTTGTATGTACCAATAGTTCATTCATTTTATTGCTCAGTGATTTTCTACTATACGTGTAAATCAGTTTGTTCTTCCATTCTCCCAATGATGGACATATGGGCTGTTACTTCCAGTTTTGGTGATTATTAATAAAGCCACTATGAACATTCATGTACAAGATCTTGTGTGAGCATAAGATTTAATTTTCTTGGGTAAATACCTAAGAGTGGGATTGCTGACTCATGTAAACACAGCAACACAGCATTTTATGTGTCATATAATCACACACACAAATAACTATGGGTTTATCTTTGTAAAAGAAAAAAAACCCTGCCAAACTGTTTTCCAGAATGGCCATACCATTTTACATTCTCACCAGCAAAGTGTGTGTTCATATCACTGCAGTGCTTTGTATTGTTGGGTTTGTTGTTGCTGTTTTTGAAATTTTAGCCATTCTAATAGGTGTGTAATGTTATTTTATTGTATTTTTAATTTGCATTTTCCTGAGGACTAATGATGTCAAACACTTTTTCATGTGTTTATTTGCCATCTTTATATCTTCTTTGGTGAAGTATCTGTTCAAATATTTTGTGTATTTTTTATTGGGTTTTCTTACTGTTGAGTTTGAGAGTTCTTTTTTGATTGAACACAAGTCCTCTTTGGAATATGTGATTAACAGATATTTCCCCTAGATTGTACCTTACCTTTTTATTTTTACTGTCCTTTGCAGAACAAGAGTTGGTGGAGTTTAATTTATCATTTTTTTTGTTTTATAGATTTGCTTTGGGTATCATATCTAAGAAGTATTTGCCAAACCAAGGTCATACAGATTTTTCTCCTATGTTTTCTTATAAGTTTTAGAGTTTATGTTTTACATTTAGATATGTATAACGCATTTTGAGTTAATTTTTGTATAAAGTGTGAGGTTTAGTTTGAAGGGGATTTTGTTTTTGTTTTTGGGTGTTTTATTGCATATAGCTATCATTTAGCATTTCTGTTATAGAGTGTCTGTTGGCAAGAAATTATCTTAATTCTCCTTCATCGAAAACTGTCTGTATTCCTGAAGGATATTTTTGCTGGATGTAGAATCTGGGTTGTTCAGGAACAACCCAGAATTCTTTTCCTTTAGTGCTTAAAAGATGTTGTTTAGCCCTCCATAGTTTTCATGAGAAACAGTCATTGGAATGTTTGCTCCCCAAGATGTAATCTGGCTGCTTTCAGAACTTTTCTTTGACTTTATTTTTTAGTTTTCAGTTTTATTATGATGTGTCTGGGAATGAATTTCTTTGTGTTTAACTTATTTGGAATTTGCTGAACTTCTTGAATCTATAGATTTATATATTTCATCCACTGTGGAAAGTTTACAGACATTTTTTTCATCAAATAGTTTTTCTGCAGTGCATTCTTTGTTTTCATCTTCAGGAATTTAAATGACAGAAATGTTAGGCATTTTTTTTATTGCCCCACAGATCCCTAAAGGTCCCTAAAGCTCCGTTCTTCTCGTTCTCTCTCTCTCTCTGTCTCTCTCCCTCTCCCTCTTTCTCCCTCTTTCTCTCTCTCCTCTCTCTCCCTCTCTCTTCCTCTCTCTCCCTCTCTGCCTCTCTCCCTCCCTCCCTCCTCTTTTATTCAGGTAGAATGAAAAAAATTCAAAAAACATACAACAGGGCAATTTTCCCACTCTCTGTTCTGTAGAGACCCCTGACTCCTGCTCTTCAGACCAGAAAGTGGAGGCTTCTTTAGAAGCTCTTTATATTTGCACCCAGTGTATACACCCAAGTTTCCAGTTTCAGGCTGTCCCTGAGTCTAGGCCAGAAGATATCAGAGAAAAAAACAAACAAAAATAGAAAACTCGCTGCTAGTTTGGTGGTCCTTAGAGTTCCCCTGTCCGCCTGCTAGCTTTTTCTTCTGGGTCCTTAGAGAGCTTATCCATGCAATCCATCCAGGCTTCTTAGTTGTATTCAGTGGGAGAGCCAGAGTAAAGTCTACTTACTCCAAAAGACTTCATCAGTAAGCTCATCTGAGAACAGTTTAAGTGAAGGTCAGAGAAATTCTTCAAACAAGAATGGAACCACCAGTGAAGAATGTGAATAAAGTAGATTTCTTTTTTCCCCCATTTTTTTCATCTGTTACCAAAAATGTTCCTCAAACCAACCATCTAAAATCCACATGTGATTTTAAAATGTAGACATTTGGACATGATTTTTACTAAGTATAGATTTCAAAACCAGTATTTTCTTTTTAATATTAGTTTTTGAAGTGCTAGAGACATCTTATGTGTTATCTAGACACTGATGAAATGAATGAGCCTTATGGATGTGATAACTGTCATTTTGAGTAAAATTTACAATTATTAGTGAATGATCTAAATTAAGTTGAGTTTTAATATAGGTGTTTCTTAAACTTCTTGTCTTTAATAAATTATTATAATAATAACAAATCCAACTTAATTAAGGCTGTATAAATCCAGCAATATTTATTATGACTGATTCCTGAGCTTTTGCCTCTTATCTGTGCTGTCACTACCCTATGCACATTCAGCCCCCCTTCACAAACAAGGATATTGAAATGGCCAATGAAAAGGATTGCAACTTCATTAGTCAACAGAGAAATACAAAATCAAACCATCGTGCAATAGCACCCAAATAGCTAAAATGAGATACATAGGCAGTATCAATTATTGGCAAGAATATGCGATATCTGGAACTTTCAAACTGCTGATAGGAACCTTAAATTGGTAGAACCACTTTGGAAAATGTTTCAGCAGTCTCTGCTAAAACTAGTGCTAAATGTGAAGAGCCTAAGACTAGCAGTTTCATCCCTTGGTATATAACCAACATAAATGTATGCATATGTTCACCAAAAGGAAGGTACATGAGTGGCCTGTTTCTGTTAGCCAAAAATCTGGAAACTACCCATGTGCATATCAGCTATAGGATAATTTAATAAATCGTGTATAATCACACAATAGAATACAATACAGGGGTGAGAATGAATTAAGTACAACTACTTGTAACAAAATGAGTGGATCTTACAAGAATGATGTTGAACAAAGAAGTCTGTATCTTGATCTGGGTGCTGTTACCTGGGTGTATTCACACTGTGAAAATTCATCCACTTAGTACTGGTGCATTTGCCTGTATGTGTATTATATACTTAAGTAAAGAAAGCATACTAAATGAATTGGATTTTGACTTTCTTGTTGTTTTTTTTAAGGTTGACTTTTTTTTTTAATTAAAGTTTATTGGGGTGACAATTGATGTACCTGTTTGTTAGTGCCCATTATTGAACCCATTAGGTGGAGCAGTATTTCAGTTGCTTCTCTTCGTTATGATAGGTAGATGATCTTTTTATCACAAAACTAGAATGGGTGTTATCTTTAGGGGAATACAGTTTTTAATGCCAAAAAACACACAGAATTGATTTTTTAAACAGCCTGATTATCTTTAAAGGAAAAAGTAAGGCTTCCTGCATCCCGAGCCTGTGTAAGAGGGCCGTCTGTCTCTTCCCCCTTCTATTGGCTCGGAAACCTGTGCAGTGTGAGAGCCCAGATAGTATGAGAGCAGACTGACCTTTGTGTTGAGCCTTTTAAGTGAGTGATCTTCATATTATATTCATAATAAATGTGGATGCAGATAAATACTAGTTATTTAACATAACTCTGTTTGTCCCTCCCCAACCCTTCATTTTGTTTTAGAGGTTTTTTTTGTTTGTTTGTTTGTTTGTTTTTGTGTTTGCAGATCTTTTTACAGATGCTGCTGAGACTGAAACAATGGCCAAAAGTTTGGAAGACTCTGAAGGAGTTTATTTTGTTCCATCTTTTAATGGATTGCAGGTATTTTTTAAAAACATTAATGGTGATTAAACATTTCTCTCCTCATAACCCACATCCAAAATTATGTATCTGCAACTCTCTTACCTGAAAATTTGGGCATTGAACAGAACTAAGGTAAAAGGTGCATTCTAGGGCTGAGAAACTGCTTTGACATAACATGAATTTTATGAGAGAGCAGAAGCCTAGAACTCCATCCCTGTGGAACCCAAAAGTTGGCAGGTTTATCATAGAACTTTTACATAAGACCTAGGATTACTTTATCATGACCAAAAATAGCCATTTTCCGGGCGGCCGAGTGGCTCAGTTGGTAAGAGTGAGAGCTCTGGACAACAGAGCTGCCGATTCGATTCCCACATGTGCCAGTAAGCTACACCATCTACGGCTAAGATTGTGAACAACAGCTCCTGGGCTGCTGTGAGTGGTTGGTGACAGCGTAGGCTGCAGTGGGGCTGCAGTGGGCTGCTGTGAGAAGCCGGCTGCTGTGAGAAGCTGGCAGCTGGCGGTGAGCGGCCGTCCAATGGCCAGCAACCGATCTGCCTCAGCACAATGATCATAATACCAACATGGGCCAGTGAAGCGATGTCCTCCACAACTAAACTGAGGAACAAAGGGACAGCAACTTGGCTGTTTCCCTTCCCCAATTCTCCAACACTGGTCCCCTCCCCCAATTCCCCAATTAAAAAAAAAAATAGCCACTTCCCAGTGGAGGAAAAATATATCAGTACTTGAAGGAAGCATACCATTGAGAATTAGAAAAATATTGGTGAGGTACACACACACACACACACACACACACACACACACACACACACAGACACACACACTTTGCAGTTCTTTGTAAGTTACATTAACTTTTTTAAAAAAATCAAAATTTCTTATTTGATAGATTATTGGTAACTTTGCTTAATCAGAAAGTGAACCCAGTAAAAGCCTTGATTTTATAATATTTAACTTTGTATTTAATCATAAGGTCTGTGCTACTGCCTTTAATGTTAGCATATTGTTATAAAAACTTCTTTAAAAACTCTTTTCAGGTATATATATTTTTGTTTGTTTGTTTTGTGTTTTTGTTTTTGTTTTTGTTTTGTTTTGTTTTGTTGTTTTTGTTTTTTGTTTTTTAATAGAGATTTTTATTGGGGAATTGGGGGATGGGAATAGCACTGGGGAATTGGGGGAAGAGGAACAGACAAGTTGCTGTCCTTTTGTTCTTGAGTCTAGTTGTGGAGGACGTTGCTTCACTTGCCCAAGTTGGGACCATCATTGCGCTCTTCCCGGGCGAGGCAGATCAGTCGCTGGCTTCTGGACTGCCACTCACAGCAGCTGCTGACCACTCACATTGACTGCTGGCTACACACGGTAGCCCATGGCAACCCACTGCAGCAGGAGCTGCAGCTTGTGCCATCGCCGGCGTCTCATGGCAGCCCAGCTCCAGGTTGAGCTGTTGTTCAGCATCTTAGCTGTAGAGGGCAGTGTCACTGGCACTCATATGTGGGATCTGAACCAGGGCCTTCTGGCGTCCCAAGCCAGCTCTTAACCAACGTGCCACTCGGCCGGCCCCTTCAGGTATATTATTATGAACAAATTTCCTTATTTATTTTTTTAAAAAAGCTTATAGCCATCTTTTTAGTCCTCCTCTAAATACTGTTTCCTTTCAAAAAATAAAAATTTCTCTTCCTTCTAGTCTATTCCATACTCTGGCAATCAGTTACAAAAAGTACAAAATCTGAAATTTTGGATAATAGAATTTAGAAGCTGGTGAAAAAAAATTAGATCAGGATGCTTTAAATGTATAAAAATACCATATTTCCAGACTAGATTTTTAAATGAGCATTATTTTAATATCTGTAATAATTTTCTTCTATATACTGTATCCTGAAGTTTGTAAACTACATGTAGAGATTGCACTGCATCCTTTTCAGGATGATGTGAGGCAACTGAATAGCATCCCTAATAGGACAGGGAGTGAAGAACATTTGTCTGACTGAGGCTTAAAGGAGGAAGCTTAGATGAACAGTTGTTATCAGCAAAGGTAGGATTTAGCTGGGTTACCACGGCTTCTTCCCATTTCGAAAACTGTGCAGGTGGACTTAGTAATGTCTGTATCTTGGCAACTCTGTGTGTCACTCCCCATCTTCATTAATTCATATACCTGTCAAAATAATATAAAATTTATAATCAAAAAGCAAAGTATTGCTGAATCCCAAAAGATTAGAGAAAACCATCACAGATGTGGCTTTAAATTTCATGTTGGTAAGAAAATGTCACAGCCTGGCAATAGGTTGGGGTTGGGAAGGGTGAGGGAGGCCTGCTGACCAAATATTTTCCAATGTAAAATGAAAGTGGAAACCAAAAGTTAATTCAGATGACAATAGTGTGTTGATGCTAAGCTGTTTGGAAAATAGCAGGGAGATCCCCTATAAGCTGCCTGTGTGACCACTAGAGAAAATGAGGACTTGGAGAATGGGGGGAGAGAAGGGACAAGGGACAAGTATCTGTGATACCATCTTTAACATTAGGATATTGGTACAGCCAGAGATAAAGGGGGGTGGGATATTAAAGGCTCCTAGTAACCTCAATTTCTCAAGGGCGTCTGCTGAGACAGCGCATTGGAAGAACTAGAGCAGAGTGAGGACGACTTGGGCAGCCCCTTCAGGAAATGGCAGAAGGGTGGGCTGAGGCATCGGGCGGTTCATGAGGCGGCATCCGTTGGTGCAGCCGGGCGCGTGGTATGGGGAGGGGAGCACTAGTGTCCATGACAGCTGTCAGAGGCAAGAATCAGTGGTCATCAGCTTGACGTCACCATTGCTGTGATGGTGGCAGTAGTGGGGTGGCCAGGAGCTTGAGCCAGGCCCGTCTTCAGAGGATGAGGGCCATGCCCCCGTGAGCGTCTGAGGTCTGTAAGAAAGCAGCTTGCCTTAGCTGCCCAAGGGAGCTGCTTGTTCACAGACATGAGCAGGAAAGGAGGGCCCCCGACGCGTTCCTGGTGAACTTTGTGGTCCTTCTTCTCGGTGGCTCTGCTCCCCCGCCTCATTACCAGCTCGCTCTGTGGCCGTTCTTCCTCATGACCTCTGCTTAGTTGTCATAGTTTCTTTACACTTCCTGCTTCTTTCACTATTTGGAAGCACACACAACCTTCTTCCACCTTGTGCAGCCCTTCAGCTTCATCCTTTTGTTCCTGTTGGTGGTTTTTTCCTCAGCGTTTCCCAGTTCAGATTTACATGGGAGGGAATTCAATTGGACCGCCTTGTTTTTTGAAGCTTTGGATAGACTTTGAGCCAGTTGTGCTCACTCCTCACAGTTATGGCAGTGGGCCTAGGACATGAGATGTGGCTGCTTTAGACAGCAGGGCCTGTGGACTCACCCAGCTTGCTTAGGAGGGGACGAGGCCGGCAAGCACTGTGAATGCCACCTCTGGTGCTGTGAGTGGCTGGGGTGTCTGAACAGTGGGACAGTGAGTGGACAATAGCATGATGCTGACATGGACCTACGTGAGCATAGGGAGGGAGGTGTCTGCTGGCAAGACATGCACAAGAGGTTAATACAAGGTCCTCTGGCCCCTGTGGTGTGGAAGCCTGAGGAACCTCCACCAAACAGCTACAGCTGAAGTCATTCTCCCAGCACAGAGCCAGCTTTGTTCTACCAACCAAGTAAGTGGAGGGAACTTCTTAGAATTGGTGAAGGGTTAGAGAAATTGATTACGATTAAAGGAAACATTCAGAAGGTGCAGTGAAAGGGTTATGAAAAAGTCAGTAGCAGTGGGAAGGGTTTTGGTAAGAAATAATAATGAAAACTGTGGTGGTGGCTAACCTGTGAGCTCTTCCTATGTGTCAGGCACTGTCCAAGATTCTTTACCTGCCTTACCACATTTGCTCCTCAGTGACTCACTGAGATATAAGAGACTCTTACCCGTTTCACAGGTGAGGAAACTGAGACTTAGAGCTGTTAACCCCTTACCCACCTCACACAGTGAGTGGCAGAGCTGACTTTAGGACCCAGGCATCATGACTCCAGAGTTCAGGTTATAATCACGCTGCCATGCTATTTCGTGGTAAAGTGTAAAATAGTATGACAACAGAAACAGGCAGTAGGTGCCAGAGGAACATGCTTTTAGGGTCTAGACAAGGATGAGAGGCGTGTTTACAGTAACCATCTGTAAGTCTCCAGCCAGTTAGGCTGAGATCCCTGTGGTGACAGAGGCCTGCTGGGTACATACGAGTTTGCGCTCTGGGCAGGAGTCTGCTAGTTCTGCTCGGGAACAAACACAGCTTTGCTGGGACCGGCTGTCCCAGGTGGTGGGTGGTTTGGGAGGCTCACTGATGGGATTGGCAGTGACAGACTGGAGGGGTGGCTGGGGGCTGTCTGCCCTGGCAGGGTGTGACCAGGCCCTGAAAAGGACCTTCCCAGTGCTTTTCCTACCATATCACCCCCCAAGAGAGACTCACTTGGACTACTAATGCAGGGATGTTGTAACCTATCGAGATTTTTAGGTTTCTATGGAATTTATTACCCCTCCAATTGGCCTATTACTAATAGTAAATTGTGTTCATAGCTATTTGTATGAAGGTGATTTCAGGTCATTCATACTAGGATTTTATGTGGTGTATTTTAAAAGAAGTAATTTTTATGCAAACAAACAAACAAAAAAAACGACATAGCATACATACTAGGAACTAAATGAACTGTCAGAATCTGACCTATCTTTATTTTATATTATTATACCACCTGATATAGACCAGCTTTACTGTATAAATCAGCTTTTACTGAGTGAATCACCAAAAGGTATTAATGAATTTGGAAATTATCAAGATAAATTCAGAATAGGAGGAAAATCATAGCTATAGTGAAGATAAGATGTGATGTCAAATTTCTTTTGTTAAGTAACTAGGAAAAGTGTTGTTTGTTTATTGAGTCAATAAATGTGTATCGATCAATAAATGTGTATTGATCCACTGTGGGGAGCCATGTACAGTGCCAAGTGGAGTTTCAACAATCACACAAATATATGTGATTATGAACTGTGGCACATGATATGATGGGAAGTTAAAGGGCTCCCTAAAAACATAGAATGGGGGACCTGATCTAGTTCTGGGATCAGAAGCTTTCCCAGAGGAAGCTGAGCCAAGATTTGAAGGGGGAATAGGATTAATGAGAAAAAGAGGTGGTAGAAAGTTTTCCAGGCAAGGAGATAATGTATCTAGGCCCCAAAGCTAGAAGGTGCCTTTCCTGGGGACCATCATTTCCTGACAGCACTGGCATGTCCCTCTGTCACAATCATAGGTGTGTTGGAACTGTTCTATCTGCTTCTCCATGAGACTGCAGGCTTTGGCAGGAATCTTTGTTTTCTCATCTTTGTGTCCCAGAATGTCTTGCATTTCTGGAGCTGCAAAGATGAATATAGATTTCATCCGATGAATAAATACTTCCAGCTCAAGATTTTGGCTCTTTTTTTTTTTAATTGGGTAACAGTGTGTTTTTTTCCAGAACCCATCAGCTCCAACTCAAGTCATTGTCCTTTCAATCTAATTGTGGAGGGTGCAGCTCAACTCCAAGTCCAGCTGCCGTTTTCAATCTAGTTGCAGGGGGCGCGGCCCACCATCTCATGCAGGAATCGAACCAGCAACCTTGTTAAGAGTACTGTGCTCTAACGACCTGAGCCATCCGGCCGCCCACTGGTAGCTCAGCTGAAGTCGTTGTCTTCGATCTAGTTGTGGAGGATGCAGCTCACTGGCCCATGTGGGAATTGAACCGGCAACCTTGTTGTTCAGAGCACACGCTCTAACCAACTGAGCCACCTGGCTGCTCCAAGATTTTGGCTCTTTTAAAAAAACAGATGTTAGGTTGGGTCATTTATTCATGTTAGGCAAAAAGACTATTAAGTTAAGAAATGAAGAGCTTAGCTTAAATGTCTGACAGTGTATTGGGTGTAAGTTATGACACTGAAAAACACATTTTTGTATTATTGTTCTTTATCTTAAGTCTGACTTACTCTCATAGCCTTAAAAAGCCACTCTACTTAGTAAACAACTTAGTGTAAAAACTTTACAGTTGGAGAAAGGGAAGAATACTAGAATTGCTTTTCATTTTCCTCATTTATAAAGTTAGACCTTTAATAATTTGTTACTCTGTGCTTTGGGCCCTTTTCTTGGTATGAGCTCAAACAGAAGGTCCAGCTAAGTCACATATCAGTGACTCAAACTTGCTTAAGTCCTCTTAAAAAGTTACTGTAATATTTAACATCATTTGGGGGCTATCATGTGTTTTAAAATTACTTAACTCTAATAGACATTTTTTCTAACATGGTCATGCTTTTTGTATATGACCTCAAGTCTATAGATATAATTTAGAACAATAACAGTATGTTCTTACTATCTCTTGCTTTAGGCTCCATTAAATGACCCCTATGCATGTGCCTCTTTTATGGGTTTGAAGCCTTCCACCAGTAAATACCACCTTGTACGAGCAATCTTGGAGTCAATAGCTTTCAGGTACTAAAGTCTGCCCTAAACCCCTCCCTCCTCATACAGTTTTGCCATTTCCTTTTATTAATTTTTACAAAACTGGAAATTTCTTAATTTTAACCGAGGGTTTATACCTTTAGCTTAATTCATATTGTATATGACATAATCTGTTCTTATTGCTAATTTCCTTAGCATCTCTTATTTGATAGCTGAAAATTGAATGACTTTTTTAAATATCCAATTTCGTAAGCATAAAAAATTCAAAATTTGGACTTTCAAGGGTTTTTGTATCCTTATTCATGAAGGAGAATTCTAACTAATAATACTTCTGTTATACTCAAAGATTGAATCATCAAAATTATTTTCATATATATTTTCCTGTGCTCTTTTTGTTATGGGGCAGGTGTATCTTATTAGAATTAAGAGTGTGGCTGTCCTAACTATGGAACATTTTAATGTTTAAAATAAAATTTTCTGTTTATATCAAGGTGAAAAGCACAAGGCCCTGAACCTCTTGTTATTTGAGCATCTGTTATCAACTTGCAGTTAGAATAAAAAATTTCTTTAATATTTTTTGCATATTTTATGAATATGTAAATAAAACTCCAGTTTTTATTTTTCTATATTGGAAAAAGTAGAGAATTACTATGATTTCAATTTCCTCTAAATGGTTATCTTATTGTTTATACTAGAAACAAACAGTTATATGAGGTGATGCAGAAGGAAATCCATATTCCTGTAACAAATATCCGGTATGTAAACTTAGTTTCTAATAGATTTAATTAGAAATTAGAAGTAAGTGGTAGCTGCTATTAGTATTTTCATCGTTATGGTTTTGAAATTCAGGATTTCAAAATGAACTTAAACCTAGCTTCTTTGCCACAAAATTCTTGGTCCTAGAAATTTGGAGAGGGAAGGAAAGCGGATTTTGGATTTATGGAAAATAGAACAAATTAGGAATTTGGGAGGATCTTAGCATCCAGATGTGTATTATAAAAATCTTTAAAATCTCTTTTTTGGGTGTGTGGCTATCCTTTTGGCATAGACGCATCCAATTTTCTTTGCAAGAATGTCCAAATGAATTTTTATGTTGGCTTAGTTCACTTGGCCTATTTTGAACTAGTTCCAGGACAAACAGGGCAGGTGGGAAATCTGGTGGCAGGAATCAGGAAAAATGTTTCAAGATTACCTAGCAAGATCCTTTATCTTCAGGTCAATGCTAAGTGATACAATTTTGGAATTAAAAAATTAAACTTAAAAAATAAAATCAAGGATTTGAAAAAAAAATGTGTCCCTTTTAAAAATAATTATTAATATTTTTAAGCTTTTGTTGCAGTAATTTATCTCAAATATCTTGCTCCTCCCCACAGGGCAGATGGAGGAGTTTGTAAGAACAGTTTTGTCATGCAGATGACTTCAGACCTGATTAATGAGAATATAGACAGACCTGTCCACCTTGATATGTCATGCCTAGGTGCAGCTTATCTAGCTGGTCTTGCTGTTGGTATGTATGGATTTTATAAAAATGAGAACTGCCTTGCAAACTATTTCTTACAGATAACATTTCTCCTCCCAAATTGCAAAATTATAGAGAGGGTTTGGAAAGCCTTGGTGTCCATGAAGCTCCATACATATATGCACATTACTCACAAAATACTCCCGGGAGTCCCTTCGTGGGTGGGTCTTACTGCCCCTCTCCCATCTTTACTTCACTCCTTCAGTCAGAAGTATGAGGTGAGGGACAGTTAGTTCTCAGCTGCTTTGGTCTTTAGCAAGGCAGGGTCTCTGGTTAAACTTTCTGAGTAGATTCCATTCTTTTATTTATTGAACATTTGTTGAGCACCCTGCTACATGACAGTCACTGCTGGGAATAAAGAGTTTGAAAGACATAGTCTCTGCTCTGGGAGTCTCTGATGGGAGCAGTCAGACAAGTCAACCAATTAAACGTGGTGTGAAAAACCCAGGAAACAGCTGCAATGTTAAGCTAATGGTGTAGGCTTCCCAGAGGAGACATTGTAAAGCTCAGTTCTTAAGGGGTTAGGAGACAGCCAGGTAAGGAGAGGAAAAGAGGTGAGTTGTCCAACTGAGATAGCAGCTCCTGCAAAGGTACTGGCCAGTTATGGTGAGAGCTGATACCATGAAAGCAAGAGGGGAGACTGGACAGAGGTCCAGGTGTGGTGGATTCCTCATACCCTGGAGTTTGCCACTGAAGAATTTTAAACAGGGGAGGGACATGGACACGTCTGCATTTGAACAGATCAGTTTGGCAATTAGCGAAAGGATTAATTGAGAGAGGTAAAGAATGGACTTGTGAAGGCCAATTGGGGGTTCCCTAAGAAGCGGGTGGCGCCTTGGGACAATGTGAGTATTTCAATGTGTTCCTGTATGGAAGGGAGGAGTGTTTGTCTAAAACAGGATATTTTATAATGAAGTCACAAATCCCAACACCATGAAATCTTGGTAAGTTCAACTTTATTCTACAAATCTAATTTTGAATAAATTTAATACAATCACTTTCATTTGTTCATTGATTAATGTTTGACTAATTCAATTGAAGAAAATAACTTTCACTTAAATAATCATTCCCTTTTACAAATTTAAATTCTTTATATATTTCAACCCTTAAAAATTTAATATGGTTGGTTTTAAAAAAATAATTTCACATGGCTAACTGAGTAAACTTAGACCTGTAACAAGGAAAAATCTTCTCAAGGACTTAAACAACTCTTGAAAATTGAATAAATTATGCTTTAATTATAGTAAATCAAATTCTCTTAAAAATTCTAATATTGTTTATAAGGTTAATCAAATCTTCTTCACTTTTTACCTCATAAGACTAAAATGTCAGATTCTCTTGAACATTTAAAATATTTTAAATAACAAATACATGCACCTATTCATACACATAACACAGTGGCTAGAGTTTTATCTATTTCATTATATCTATATTTAATTTCAAATCTTTTTAATACAAGGATACTTCACTGACTACAGGGAAGCAGGTTTATCATCTCAGGAAAGCTGAGATTTCTGGTTGGATCACTTCTCTTTAAAAAATTTGGGGCCTGAAGACTATGCATATCCTCTGTAGTTTCAAAATTCACTCAGAAGATCTGCCTGTTCAATATATATTTAATAAAATGACTTGTAAAAATATGCATGCCTTATTGTAAATAATAAATCCTGGAAATAAGGATTTTAAGAACGTGTTTATTTTTATGACTAGGTTTATTTGACTAAAGTATACTAATTAAAACTATTTTTAGTCTTTTTAAAACTTCTATAAATTAATTATCTTTAAATACAGAAAGTCTAAAATACGACTTTGTAAATAGAAAGAACGTGACCCAACAGAAATTTTCAGAAGAGAGAGTTTTATGTGTCAGCTTTATTGGTAAGAGAAAATGTACTTCATGAAGACTTGCCAACCCTGTTAGCACTTCAGAGTTAGTGAGATGTACCAAGTTTCTTTACAAGACACCTCTACCGTTTCAGACTGCTTATGATCATAGTCATGCATGTGTTTTCTTGCTGCTTATTATTATAAATCACATGACCCTCTTTATAAAGAACAATATGTGCCAGAACACCAATATTACCTTGAACAGGAATTTAAGTAACTTGTATGAAATGCAATAGTTCGAAAAAGAAACTAGGTAATATATTAATTCCCTACTTTGAATTTTAGGCATATCCTAGGAAGTTCCCTCTTACCTCAAGATACATGACAAAAATCTTAATTTATATTTGTTTTTTTAATTGTAAAAAAGAAAGTATACTATTTCTTACTTTTTTTTCTTAGTAGCAAGTCATGAAATTAAATGATGACAGGGTGTGGTTCTAGAAGTGATTTGGTACCCTGCTACACATAAATAAAGCTGATAGTTAGAAACCAAAAGATTTTAAAATCCTGGTGTATTTATTCCCATGGAAAATCAATATAACAAAACTCAAAAGCAACAAAATAGTTTGGATTGTGTTTTTAAATAATAATTGTTTACCTTTGTACCAGTTCTCATAGGTTTGTGGATAAACTTTACGGACTCATTTGCCTTAAAATTTGAGAATAATTTTTTCATCTATAGGATTTTGGACTGACAAAGAGGAACTAAAGAAACTGAGGAAAAGTGAAATGGTTTTCAAGCCACAGAAGAAATGGCACGAATATGAAATGAGTATGGAAAACTGGGTCAAAGCAGTGAAACGCTCCATGAATTGGTACAACAAGACATAGAACTGAATGGAATGGCTGAGACTATAGATGGCTGGCTGATGTGACATGCAGATGGGACAAAGCTCAGGAATACCGATATGACAACCACTGAGAGGAGAAGATTTAAAATGAGCTTTGCAACCTGAGAGGAAAAGCATTGCTGTTTTGAAAACACAAACACAAACAAAAATTTTAAACCATCATTTATTTTTACCCAAACCTTGGTAAGATTGTCAGGCAGCAATACCTCAAAACTTTATATCTTCTTTTGTAATTCCAAAGGACATTAGCAACCATATTTTGACAGTTATGGGTCTTCCTTTTTTAAAATTGTACATATGAACATAATTGTTTTCTATCCAGTTCTGGGTCTAGCACCCTTTACATGTTGTTCCAAAATTATGTGAAAAGCATTCCTTTAATTATTTAAAACTAAGTAGACTATTCAAAGTCCGTATAGCTAAAAATAAAGAATAACTAAGGAAATGTGGAATTCTGAAACATTAGCATTTTGTATTTAAAGCCATAATTGTTCAATGTTACATCCTTGTATAAGCTCCATGTCCCTCCCAGATAGGCTAATTAGTCAGTTCTTTCCTTTATTGGGCTTAAAGACACTGCCTTAATTTTTCCTTACTTCACCCAAATCTAAACATAATTTATGTACTAAAAAATAATTTTAATTAATGAAACTAAAAAGGGTATTGATTTATAAGGAACAAGAAAATATTGTATTTTCCTCAAATACCGTTTTTTCAAAAACTTCTGGCTAAAGTATAACATCCCATTTTTTACAAAATGTAGGTAGTAAATATAAATCTTGCCTTTCTTGTGTTCTTATCTTTCTTAGTTGTTGAGGTGCTTGCATAAATGTCATTTGTTTTTATTAAGTGCCTAATTGACAGCTTAATTTGAAGAAAGTGCCCTAATCTACCAGTGACTTAAGAATTGCCTTCATTAGTGTATTTTACTTGTCCAGGAATCTTTTTAATTTTCACCTAATCTACTCATCTGTATGAGATACCTGCAGTGGGTAGCTGACAGAGGTGAGGAGCAGGTATCCATGCTAATGATTGCCCAAGGGCCGCTGAGCCAGAGAGCCACAGAGAGGAGTAGGGACAGTCTAGGTTCTCAAACTTTCTTCATAGAAATAGTGTAGAGGAGTAAGAGTTGTGAGTAGTTTTAGGCCACTTAAATCTAGGTGTAAAATTGCCCCCTTCCAACCTGTTCTCAGGTTATTTGCCCCTCTTCACATATGGGCTAGGTTCTTTTTAGATTTGCAGCAATAATGAATTTACTTCCCTCTTGGCCAGGTTTTATCACATAAAGTCCTGTTATAGAGCTAGCTGCTCAATAATAATGTAATGAAAGAAGTGACTGTTACAGGGAATTTTGTTGTTACTGTCATATATGTCTGTTTCAGAGACAGTCAGACTTGATAGAATTAGGGGTCAAATTGCATTTCTACCAATTCCATTTCTTTGAATTTTAATTGTCTTCTTAAAATGATTAAATTTTTGATGGGAGTCATTATAGCAAATATATATAGTATCAGAAACTCCATTAATTTTTTTAATTTTAATTTTTCAGTTGTAGTTGACATTCAATAGTATATTATTTCAGCTGTACCTCATAGTGGTTAGACATTTACATAACTTACAAAGTGATCCCCCTGAAAAATCTAGTACCCACCTGATACCATACATATATTATTAACTCCATTAATTAAGATTTGGAAATATTTTTGTTATGTCAAAGTGTTTTGTTTACTGTAATAAGTCAAATCCCATTATGTAGATCATATCTTATTCTTTTCATTCTTTGTGTTTTTCATGTCCTTTTTACAAAGCTTAGTGGCCATTTAAAAGCTCTATTACCAAAATCATATGAAAGCTGCTCTTTTGTTTTTGTGTTTCTTATAGGGTCTGTTTCTCAATGGCTGTGATGTCATAGGAAATAATTCTGTCTTTTTGAATTAGGATATACTGAATTATAATATTATTAATACCTAAAAGTTTATTAGCTCATCTCTTTTCCACATTTTTCTTTCTCTTCATAAAACCACAAAATAAAGGATTTCAGATCTTTTAGATAATGTGGGAAAATAACTTTGAATATTTCTTGTTGGAATTAAGCATCTAAAAAAATCAGTGGCTAATTTTTTTGTTAGTCTAGAAGTTACTCTTGTATTTTTAATATTTCAGGCTGTTTTTAGTGACACAGTTTAGTAAATCTTTTGTCAGATTTAACCTAAATCAGAAAGGTGACCACATTTGCTTTTGTGGTTGTAGAAACAGTTGATAATCAAAATCAGTTGAGCAAAAAATTTGTCCTGTCCATCTGTCCTGTCAAGTTCATATTTCATTGGTATTCTAATATTTGAAGTGTTTTTAAAAATTCTGTGCAGATATTTCTCATCGTGTCTTATTTTCCCATTGTGGATCTACCAGGTCTGTAGCTGTTTAATCAAGGAAGAGAATGCTCCTCTACAGTCCTTCTTAAAGTGGCACTAATTGCTTTCATGCTATAGGCCTTACAAGTTTTTTTTCATATCTAACCAAGACGTGGTTTCTCAATCTCAGCTTTATTGACATTTTGGAACAGATAATTCTTTGTTTTAGGGTGCTGTTCTGTGCATTATAGGATATGTAGCAGCATCCCTGACCTCTGCCTGTTAGCTGCCATTAGCATCCCTGAGTTGTAATAGTCAAAAATGTCTCCAAACATTGCCACATGTCCCCTGGGAGGCAAAACCACCTCCCAGTTGACAACCCCAGATACAGACTGTGAGGAGAAAATTGAAGACTCAGTGAATGTAGAGTGTCTATCATACTCACTTTCCCTCTGCCTCGTCTTACCATAGGAAACTGGTTGCTCGCAAAAGGAGGTGGTCATATATTAAAGTAAATAGGGTTTTTACTTTGCTGGTCAATGAGGTAAAAAAAAAATCAAATAATGTTATAATTGTCTCTTGCCGTTTTTATCTACCCGCCACCATCCCTCCACCTGCACTCTCTGTGATCTTATTGAGTTGGTTCATGACGTCGGTATAGGGTTAATGTAGTCTGCAGACAATCTTTGATTTTATCTGCCTTTTCCTTCCTTTTCATCTCTGAATGAAGGAGATGATCCCTCTCTTATCTGCCTCTGTTCAAGGCTCCACCAAACTGGAAGCTCCCTGAAGGGAGAAAACATGTCTATTTCCACAGAACTTAACTCTGTGCCTTCATTTGTGGGATGAATTTTACTTTATGTTTACAACTGTAACTTTTTGCATGTACATTTTTTCCTTGTTGATAAGAAGCAGCTTATATTTGTTGCAAGTAAAATATGTTTTGTTGGATTAAGAAGGACCACTTGCTTATAAGAGCTAGAATCTTAGTACTATTTATTTAAAATTTCTAAATATGACATATGTATTTGTGTAGAGATACACACCCATTAGTACACATAGTTATATTAACTTTCTAAGGTAAAATGGAAGGCTTTCTTTTCACAGGTTTTGTGTATTTGAATGCAGATGACTAACAGATTAAATCTTCAGAACGTCAGACACTCTGGCGTTAGAGGGAAGAAATTTAAGAAATAACCCCTTCTGCAAAGCACTTTTATACTGGAGACAGTTCTTTATTTAAAAATAATCTAGCTCATGAATTTGGCATGAACTTTAAAATTCTTTGAGGGGAGACATAGCTGAACCCTGGGGTTCTTTGACTTTAAATGGTTCTAGTGTCACCACAGAGACAGCCTAGAAGGCTTGAGTCTACCTCCAAGGGATTCAGAATCCCTTTGGAAAATTTAATCATGTTTCTGAATTAGAATTAAAAACCCCAGATACACCCTAAACCGATCTAGTCTCAGAAGCATCTTTCTTATACAAAGCCAGGTCATCTGATTCAAATCAGCCAAAATGGGTAACCCCAAAGTCATCAAATAGGTGATCCAGAATTACATTGTTTTGTATAAGTTTTGGATCTTCATAGCCATAAATATTTAGGCACCAGCATTTATTATAAGTCACTAACTATCTTGTCACTATTCCCAGAGGACCCTTGCACCTAGAGGAATACAGGGATGATCTTGGAAGTGGGACCAATAGAGGCAGGAACCTGCAGAATCAGATATTTCTGAAATTCTCTGTTATTTTATTTCTGCCATCGCTCCAACCTTTACTATGGACTTGGCTTATTAGAATAAAAGTGGCTATCTCTGTATGGATATCTATATTATTTACAAAATAAATCATATGAAAATTCCAATTTAAATGAGCCATGTTGTTATAGGAAACTGCCAAACTTTTCCAGAGCAGCTATACCACTTCACATTCCCACCAGCAAAGTATAAGTGATCCAGTTTCTCTACATCCTAACCAGTATCTGACATGTAAACATAACCCTAAAATTAACCTTAATCCTAAATCTAACCTTAAACCTAACACTAACTCATACCTTAAACCTATATGTAACCTTAAAATTAACGTAGCCCTAATTTAAACTCTAACCCTTACCTTAACCCTAAATTGAACCCTAACCCACACCCTAATTCTAAACCTGATCTTAACATTAACCATAAACAAAACTGGAAACCTAACCCTAACTTTATGTTTAACACTACCCCTAACACCAACCTCCAGCCCTAAATTCTAACCATAATTTTAACATAAAACCTAAAACTAACCAAAACATTTAACCTAACCCTAAATCCAACCCTAAACTTAAACCAAACCCTAACTCTTAACACTAAACCTAAACCTAATCCTAAAACTAAACTTGACCCTAAGCCTAACTAAGAATCCTAACCCTAACTCTAAACTTAAGCTTAAGCCAACCCCCTAACCCCAATTCTAACCCTCACCCTAAACCTAAACCGAACTGTAACCCTGACCTAACTATAAAAAAACCCTAAAACTAAATCAAATCCTAAACCTAATCCTAATCCTAAACTGACCTCTAAAACTAACTATAACCATAAACCTATCCTAATCTTAACCCTAACCATAACCCTAATTCTAAGCCTAATACTAACACTAACCTTAAACTCTTACCTTAACATTAAACACAAACCCAATTCTAAACCAAATCATGATGCTAGCCATAACCCTACTATAAACACTAACCTAACCCTATAACCCTAATGCTAAACCTAACACTAAACCTAAACTCTAATT